TTAGTTTAGAGCAGCAGTGGCACAAACCATAATTTGTTAAAAACCTTACATAAATTTGTTTGAATAAATTTACTGTTAAAAGGCGGTTATGAAGCGTCTGATATTTATATTCAGACAATTACACGCTGTTATCCCTCAGAGAGAATGTCTTTCCGTTTTGTCCAGAAAAGAAGCCATTTTGTCTATTTGCTGGACAGGTAAGCCATGCGGTGTTGTTGCTGTCTCCTGTAAACTTAATCATCCGTGCATTAATGTTAGTCATCTGTGATATTTTTAAGTTATTGTAAGTTGTTTTTGTGTGTTTGTATGTTTTGTGTTTGTATTTTGTAAATAAATGTTTAAAGCACTTTTAAAGTTTTGTTTTACTAGATTTGTATAATCTATCCGGTCAGTATTTTGATTAGAAGATGAAAAGTTGTCTTATTAGTGTAATAGCAACTTAAGTATACGCACGTTCGAATCTCACGAGAATTAGTGCACCATGCAGGTAATTCTCGCCTAATCTTTTATGAATACTAAAGATTCGGACATACTCATTCTTCGCCTACTGCTTTTTGCCTACTATATAGTATGGAAGTATGCAGTTTTGAACGCAGCCACTGGCTCTGTGACAGTCAGAGGTGGGAGCAGCACTGAAGAAATCTAATCAGTTCAGCTTTAAGGACACTTAGAAGACCTTATAAATATCTTAGAATTGTAGTTGAGAGGACAATACGCAGGGTGAAGGAATACCGTAATCGGATGGGCTTGTTTCTCTTTCTATGGTAGGCTCAGTCAATCAGCTGTGGGTCATCTGTCAAACTATCAGGGCCCTCTCGATATTATTATATAAAGTTTTTTTAGTTTTATAAAAAAGATATTATTATATAAAGACATTTCTTGTGTGAGCCTAATTCTTAATAACCACAATTAACTTACATTTTAACCAAATAAAAAGGTACTTAACTTTCTTATTCATATAAATTGTTTTTATCAAGTAAAATAAATAAACGGCTTACAATTGATC